AGCGCTAATTAGTAGAACATTAGGAGAACTTCAGAGAGCCAATCTGGTTTTATTAACAATATTTTCCAACACTGGTATAGTGGGAGGGTCTTCTAAAATTTGATTATTTAGGTAGGTAATTTATTTATTAAAATCAGAGACTAAACCGTTTTATATATATATAGTGCTGATATGTCATCTGAATCACATTTAAATAAATAACAGAAATAATTCAGCTCTAACAGGTAAGTTTTCAGGAAATGACCTTTTTTGATGAATCAATATTGATATTTTATATATCTAAGGCTCTATTTATCAATGAAAGAAAATAACCAGTCTTCTGTTATCTTTGTTTCTCTTCTCTGGAGAGAATTACCCAGTAGGCCAAAATAAATTTTGATGTGGGGGTACACACATGTTCCAATATTCTCCTAATATAAATATACAGTATATGGATTAGCTAAATGTAAGCTTTAAAAACACCTCAAAATTAGTTTTTGTTGTCTTTGATTAAATCTACCTTTGAATGTACAGCCTTAGTAGAGTAATTACATTAGAACAAAACGTATTTCTAGTGTTGAATAGCATGGGCAAGTTTTGGAAGATCCACCCTCACTATATGTGTTGGTGACTAACGTCTGTGAGAGGAAAGCTACCATTTTACAGTTGTCACTGACAGAAGGAGAGGGGGAATCTCCAAATGGAGTTGCCTGCTGTGGTGACAACTCTCAGAAGACTGATTGCCCCTTACTTTTGGGAAATTGTGATGTGAAGGACTTCCCAGATAGGAACACAGCAAAAAAAAAAAAAAGAAAACATTCAAACAGTGGCGACTCTAGAAACAATATGTAGGGGGGGCACATAAGATACAACAGTCAAATCTGGGGGGGCACTAATAATCTTCATTGCATGTTGCAACCGCTGGGCACCGATGAGCTGATTTAATTGCGGATGGCATTGGCACCCCGCGGTTGTGACATGTAGTCCAACGCCGCCCACAATCCTCTTTTTAGCAAGAGATAAAGCTGTCACAAACCTGGACAATTCAGACTGAGCATATGATCAAAAATACACATAAGAAAGGTTGGCCCTTGGCACCTTTCCAAACCTTGCTTTTGGACCTTTAATATGTTGCAACCAAAAAAGCATAAAACTGCTCACTAAGAGTAGAGGACAGTCACCCGGCGGGATAAGGTATGCCGCCGGGTCCCCTCCTCTCTCCTGATACTGTCGGGCGTTCGGTCCATGACCGAGCGCCCGACTATCCAGAGGGAGGTGACACTAAAATGACTGTGAGTCATTTTGGTGTCACCCCTCAAATGGTGTCACCCGGGTGCGGGCCGCACCCCCCTTGTGACGCCACTGCCCGTGCTATCAAAGTGAACCTCGTGCACAACCAACACTCTCTTGGGAGCAGCATACAACATTTCAGTTGGGTAGACAGCACTCTGCCGTCTTCTACTAATACTTTCCAAATAAGCATAGTAAGAATCACAATTAACATCACAAGGACAATTGTTACGCAGTGTCCTGTGATTATTACAATGCTGGTTTAATACAGTTTAGGAGAAGACTACAGAGTGCTGGCTATGCTTATACAGTTTAAGGTGATTACAATTATTCATTTATATAGCATCAACATATTCCACAGCGCTGTACAATCATTTAGACAAGACAAGTAAGAAACACTGACAAGCATCATTGACATACAGAAACAGGAGGTGAGGAGGACTCTGGCCAAATGAACTTAAAGTCTAAGAGGAAGGGGACCAAAGACACAGGTGGGGAAGGGGAGACTACAGATGTATACCAAATAAAATAGGAGGGGATTTAGAAGTACTGTGAAACGGGAGCAGAAGGGAAGGTTGAATAGAGTGAGAAATCATGGGGAGAGCTGATACACTTCTATAAAGTAGTGCGTTTTGAGGGATTTTTTAAAGCCCTGTAGAGATGGTGAGAGCCTGATGTGGCGTGGGAGAGAATTCCATAAGGTGGGGCAGTCCTGGTGAGGTCCTGTAGACAAGTGTTGGGTGTGCGGGTGAGTCAGCAGGATAGTCTCAGGTCATTAGTGGAACGAAGGGGCCGAGTATGTCTTCTAATTAGGGATGCAATTTAAGCCGGTGCGTGGTTATGCAGAGCTTTGTAGGTAAGGCTGAGAAGTTTGACCAATTGGAAAACTTGGAAGGCTGGAAAGGGCAGGGCCAAGCAAGACTTTTTACAGGTAAAGTCAAGATATGCATATTGTGTCCCTGGATCTACTGATCGTTCTAAACATGGGCTTATGCATTTTGTCATCACAATCTCAGTTTACATTGACAAGATTTGTGACAGGTTTACTTTAAAGTACTGTGTTACCAGCAGCCTGGTAGGCAAGGATATTTAATTTCCTGGTCACTTTCAGTGATGTTCATTCTGGATTTTGCCGGTACAAGTGAAACTACAGTAGTTTCTCAAACAGCAAAATCAGCAGCAGAAGCTTGCTCACACCACATACAGACACTTGATAGCAGCCACAATGTTCTGCTAAACTAAGGAAGCAGAAACACTTCATATAATGACATTTTACAAATCTGCTGACCAACTTACTAATGAATTTCACAATCCTGCACTAAATATACATTGAATATACAGTATGTGAACTGCAACAATGTCAGCCTGGGTCATGGTATTAAAATAATGTTCCTATCCTTTGAATCGTACACCATAAGTAATATAGTATCAAATGAAGGCTAAATAAAACTCCAAAAAGGGAACTGGATTTCTTCTCCATGTAGATTATGAACTTCCAGGCCAAACCAAAGGTCACTTTAAAGGTCTCACAAACCTTTTGCATTCTGCTTTACACTTGAAAAATAATACAGACTAACCTTTGTTAACAGCCCCTTGCCCCTTAACAAGAAAAGCATAATGAAAGCTGCCAAATTAAAGCTTTTTCAGAAAAAAATTATACGTACAAAGGACCCGGCTTCTGCCTCCTTCCTGGAGATACTGGAGCCTTCACTGTGCATTATCACTGCCTCCTGGGAAGAATCGGGGGGCTTGAATGCACATAGGAATGGGCACTTACACACTGGAGGAGCACATTCTTATGGGATTTAGAGCATGCAGTTTACCTGTCCTCCCTTCAAAGATCTTCGCTGGGCAACTGGGGACTGGACAGTCTCCTCACCAAAAGTATCTGCTTCTTTTGAATATGCGTGCTGCAATCTGCATTCATTCCTATAAAAAGGTCTTCAGTCTTTTTTCCAAACAGTGGACAGCCTTCCTTTAGGAACAAAGAAGGTCATGGATCTTGGAGACTTTGGCGAAGAAGCTGTGTTGTGCGCAACAGTTGCACAGAGAACATCTTGTGGGATTGGGGACAGATAAGTGTAAGCCTTGGGACTAGGGGGCAACTGGGGGGGGGGGCATATGAAGAGTCTCCCTAAAGTGCATTTATCCTTTTAAACTTTAAGAACCTGTACAAGCAAGAAGGAGAAAGAAGTTATACATGGTATAATATTCTTTAGAAATTTAAAAATGGTAGTTTGGTAATGTGTCTTCAGTTTTGCAGAGGCTGCAATTTAACACTTTGCTTTTGCTCTAACCTTACCATCTATGTAGATCTGAATCTTACTTTTTTTATTGTGATTGAAAGCAGTAAGCTATTTTTACATCCGGGCAATAACCATTATCCAGTGTTTAGTCAAACAAATTGTTATCTTTAGTACAGGTATAAGGTTTGATACAAAAACACCCACCGGGGTTTAAAGTTGTGTAAATAAGCACTAGAAAAGGACTTGGAAAGTTTTATATCTGCTGACAGGTATTAAAAGCAATGACGTCATGGTGCCGTAAGACCAGTAGAACTGGTAAATGTCACGCATGATGCAATGTCAAATAAATAAAAGATACAAGCTGTCAGTGGCAGTTTTTAGATCACTATTACAGGATGTTATATTGTGCAATACTTAGTATACAGTATTTCATCATAGCTTCCAAGTGAGACAAACTACTTAAATGGTCAGTCTACCCAAAACGGACATTTTAAATCTCAGTGGCTGCTTGAGAAGTAAATACATTTTTAGCTTTGGGTTACTTGAATTGTAAGATCTCTGCTTTTTTGTTCTCATGACTGTACATCTGCAGCAGCCATTAGTAGGAGGTCTACCCTGATACATTTTTACTTAAACCACCTTTACCACAATGTAGGACCTAAAGCAAATTTTTAACACATTTTATGTGCATTGCCATAGAGGTCTGTCAGCACCTAATGTTCTTGTGCATTGGGGGTGCCATTTGCAATAAAGTAGTGTAACGTATAGGTGTGAACGTGGCCTTAATTTTAAATTATTGAGAAAGCAATGAGGGGAGTTGGATCACCGAAATTTAGGTGGGAAAACCAAAAACATGAAATGGGGTTGGGGGTGTACTTTGACAGGAACTATGGTAGAGAAGAGTTGCCATTGGAGTCTTCAAGGGATAAAGGAAACCAGCAGGTTATTTAGCCTTACTTCTACTTTCTTGCTATCACTGGTTTGAATGATAAGGCAGGAAGCATTGTGCTATGTGCGTAAAATCATAATAACATTCCCACACTTGTCTATCATTGTATTAATTGCTAATGACAAGTGAAATGTGGTTGCTATGGGTTACTACACTCAGCCCTTTATCATTACTATTTACATTGTTAGACCACTTATAGTTGACATTGTAGATAGCCACAGCTGGGTTGAATAACAAACAGGTTTTATTCCAGCAGCAATATCTCCCCATTGAAGGTTCTGCAGGTGGGAATCAATACTCCTGACACATTCTCCATAATCCAGAACAAATTAAAAATTAAGCAGAAGAAGGTATGGCCACTTGGAAATGTACATGCAGAGATATTGCTGCTGAAGACCCTAAAAAAGAATCCCAAGGTCAGGCAACCCTTGGCAGCTAATCAGGATTGGCCTGTTATATAAGCCATATAGTCTTAGAGAACTTACAGATCCTAATAATGCTGTAACAACGTAAAGTTTTTCTTGTACTGAACCTAGGGGGCCCAGTGCAACCCCAAGGATTGCAAACAGAGAACCAGCAACATCCTTCACATGTGAACACTCAGAGGTCTCCTGGTCAGGATCTTCTTCCACAGAATGAGCCACAGATGCCATCACCAACCACTGTTCAAGAGCCTTCCTCCACTGAACACATGTTTTCTGCTGCCAGCAACGTGGAGCCACAATCCAGCCATCTGAAGGAGCAGCCTCAAAAAGTTCCACCGCATCCCCAGCTGAAGTAAGGCCATGATTAAATAATGCAATAGTTTGCTTGTTACAAAGGAAATGTGTTTATATTATATAGATTTATATATAGTTATATGTTATGACAAGATAAGTTTATCCCAGTGGCTGACAACATTTGAAGTCCACGAGCATTGACAGAACACCTCATTGTGAACAGGAACAGCCTCAAAATACATGCAAAATTCATAAATTATATATGAGAGAGAGAGACCTCCTTAAAATTCTAGTGGCCTGGCTCTGGCTTTAATACACAGAAGGAATGGGTTAGGGGGCATTTGCCTCCAGGTATGTGCTAGTAAGATCTAATTGGCTGTTGGACATGAGTGGAGATACTTCGTTATTGATACCTGAATGAGAGTGGGATCTGCAGTCAGTGACACATGTTGGGCATTATGTAGCTGCATTGTTCATACCTGCCATCACAGCACGTGCCATAGTGAGTTCTTCCAGCACTGCCTTCCCTTGGCACTCTGAGATGTCATGTGACACAATCCCGAGAGCAAAAATTAGGATTATACTGGAATATGTAAAAAGGTGTGTCATTAAATTCCATGGGAACCCTCACCTTTCATCATGCCAGCCAATCGAAGGGGCACCATGACACACTTAGCATAGATACAATTTAGTTAACCCACATAACTCTGTTCCTACTATGACAGAATATGAGGTTAGCAATTGCAGCATCCATATTTTTCATAGGTTTATTGTAAAGATCAACTCCAACCAAAACCTGTTCTATAGGTTAAATGTTTTTATTGCTGTTTCTGCCCCTTTTATGAGGATTTTCTCCTTCTTTCTGTATGATCACTTGGGCAATAAGTGAGATTAAGGGGGTTATTCACATGCCAGCCAAGTGAATAACCGAGCTTAAGTGAAGTGACGCTGTTCGACTATTTACTTGTATGGCTGATTTCAGCTGTATATCGGTTAAAATCAGCTGTACACTGGCTGCCTTTGGTCAGCGGAACATGCTCTGCAGAAGGAGTTTGACTCCAACATCTGGATCAGCTGAGCTGAAGCTCTGACAGCTCACTCGCTGTCGTTCGCCCCTATTCTCATAGGGGCCAAATGGCAGTGAGTGAATAGCTGAATGCCGCAAGCGGCGTGAATAGCTGAATGAAAAAAAAATTGTGAAAAATTATTTAAATAATGTAAAAAAATAGGAAAATTAAAAAAAGAAAAATATTTTTTTTAAAAACAATGCACGCCCATCTGACCGCACGCGGCATACTCCCGTCACATAATGTTGAATCTGACAGATGACGTCAAAATATAAACACTTGGGCAGAGCTAGCGGTGACATCACCACTAGCTCCGCCCAACTGTTTCCTATTGGCCTGTCAGAGTCTTCTAGCAACAATAAATAACAGCTGTCATTTGCGTGGAGATCGGTCGGCTTAGGCCGACCTCTCCACACGCTTCGCCTGTCACTATGGCTCAGCCGAAGTGGTACTCATGCAATTGTCCGCCACTAAAAACATGGTGACCCATAAATCCTAATTGATTTATTAATAGATACTGGTAGTTTATTATGTTTGCACCATATCGGCCCTTAATTATGTTGTAAGGACAAGACTATGAGGGCAGGGACTATGAAAAACTCAATATTCCCAGTAAAGTATTACACAATATGATGGCGCTGTATGTATAAATGGGATAATTAAATAATGAGTGCACAAACACTCCGATATCCAATATTTACTCTAGTTCATTCGAATATGCAGCATGCACGTATCACCTGCACTTTCTTATTATCTGATTCTAAGTTGTGTAGATCTGGGCCCTCTGCTTCTGCCTCTCTGCAATACTTAGTATGCCCATCAGTCACAAGACAGCCAAATAGTATATTTTGTGAATGACATTTTCTCTTCAGCTGCCATGTCTTCTTTTTACTGTGTTTGTGGAAATATTTAAACCCATTCACTAAAATAACATATATGTAGTCCGTCCCCTTTAAGGAGAAAGCTACACAGCCCAAGAATCGCTTGCCTCTCCTCCTGCTCACCACTGATTGACATAGCAGGGAGAGGAGAGCAGGACTTGGGCTGGCCACATTGTCAGCTCGGGATTTAGTCCCCAGTATTGGTCTCGGAAGAGAATGTGCATGGCTGCATCCCTGGCCAGAAAGTCAAACTCATCAGTCCTCTGGACGGAGAGGAGTGGAGTGTGACGCAGGGAGGGGGAAAGAGAGAGATAGACCAACTGTGTCAGAAACAGGGTGTCCGAGCTACCAGCTGGAGACATGCAGAAATCCAGAACCACCAGAAATTCTGAGGTAGACAGAAGGTGCAGTCAGACAATGGGAAAGGTGCAGACTTTGTTCAGCCTTCCTGCAAACTAGCCACCAGGGATCTTGCGACCTACATCTCATTCGCCTTCATTCAACCAGGGATGAATATCAAAGGACAGACTGCTTCCAGGTGAACATCTGTTGGACAACGGAGTGGTGAATGATCTCTAGGCTACCCTCTTGTGTGTTACATTTTGCTTACACCTGGTGCTTACTTAAATGGGACTTTCCCCACCATACTGTGTGGCAGTTGGAACACTTTGTAAAGATACCCTCTTACCTCTGTTAATTGCAGATATCTTCACATGAAGGTTTAGTGCTCCACTATTAAATGTAAAGGGCCCCACCACTACCAGATTTTGTGGCGATTTTCCTACTGGCCAGTAGTAAGCTAGGGTCTAGTAACAGTTTGATATGGGAGTTTAAATTCACAGCCTAAAACCAGGTGCAGAGTGTTGCTAAGAAACCTTGGTCCTCATGGGAAGCACAGATTAGCAGAACAATGAAGCTCACAGCCATACATTCTTTGTGCCTTGTTATCTGGTCTTCCTTTGTGTATCAGATTTGGGGAAGAGAGGGAAAGACAGGGCCTTCGAAGACTTTGAACAAAAATGCTCTCTTGCTACGTAGAAAAGCAGTGCAGATTCCCACCCGGACTGGGACACCTCCAGCTGGTGCACACCCTCTTAGGCGAATTCCTGTGACTCGGTCAAAGTAACCCCTTCCTGAAAAGGAAGATGAAGAAAAATGGGAGGAAGATTTAGAGAAATGATCGCTGTAGTATGATCAGTATGTATGATGTAAGTTATGATCCCACAAATGCCAAATAATTCGCTGTTGGTACACCTCAGAAATCTATCAGGCACAAGTCTGACCCAAACGACAGATTTAACCTTGCATTAGACTGTCATATGAGTTTAAGAAAAGCAGTTCAGATGAAGCCACTGCCACAGTACGCAGACTCGAGTTACTGTACCAGTAAGTTATACTTCCTTTACTCAACACATCATGGTGGAGAGCCCCTTTGCCACAATTTATGATAGGGTCAGTTACTTAGTTCCGTGCAAACCTGACTCCTGTTGATGGTAAGTTCCTTTGCCTACACTTTTTGTTAGTAACAGTTACCTGGTTGCATGCAAATGTTCATTTGTAACTACAATTTCTGTTTCTTTTGGGGACCAAAGACTTACAGTGAGGGGAGTGTGAAGCCTTTAAGGTGGGGGCTGCATAGTCCTCATGGCTGCCCTGCAGCTTACCTCTCCTCCATGCTGGCCATTGACAGAGCAGGTAAACAGAGTGGGACTCGGATTTGCTGCATCAGGGGTTCAGAACTTAGCCCTACCCTATGGTCACGGGGAAGGATATGACTGGCTGCATCTGCAACCAGGAAGTTAAACCCTGCCCACCAGCCTGCAAAAGAGAAAAAAATGATGAAGTTTGACACAGGTAGAGGGGGAAAGGAGAGTGTTAGAAAGACACTGTGAGGAGGGAGGGAACCCTGGAGGAACTAGCCAGAAACAGGGTGTGCAGGCTGCCAAGAAGGAAGAAGGAAACCCACAAGGACCACCAGAGATCCAGAGAGAGGGAACAGCCAGAGAAGCAGATAGGTGCAGATTCTGTTCAAACATCCTGTGAATTAGCTATCTGAGACCTCATGGCCATAATCTTATCCACCTTCATCCAGTCTGCAGTGGCAACCATAAGAGGAAAGACTGCTACCAGGTGAACATCTGTCGGATGTTGGAGTGATGAGCATCCTTTTGGCCACCCTCTTGTGTGTTGTATTTGCTTACACTGTTTGAGGACACTATTGCCTGCGGCAAAGCTTCCTTACAGGAGACCTCTGCACCCTTTTACTGTGGATAGTTGGGACACTTTGCAAAGATACCCCTTTACTGTGGATTACAGATACCTTCACTTAAAGTTGAGTACTCCTTTATTTAGTTTAAAGGGTCCCCATCTGGAAGAATTTGTGCGGATTTGTACACTAGCCAGCGGGCGGTTAGCTAGAGTCTAGCATATTGCAGTTAGGACACATAGTTAGCTGCATCCTCCTTACTCCATATCAGTGATATTGGTTGCACTGTTTGTTGCTTAATACTGCCTGCAGTGTCACTCTCCACTGGCCTAGAGCGTTTCAGGCAAGGTGTTTCACGGTGGTAAAGAACGCGAACACCAGTCCTATTAATCTTGTTGTGGTATTTAGTTATACCAATTATTAAGCTGCTGAATTTACTGTTGTCAAGCCTGTTTGTGCACCTCTTTAATTTCAGGGGCTATTGTTAGTCTTAATAAAGCCCATTTATTGCCATTGGTGTGTTGGTGCATTGTCAGGTCCAGTTATAGTGTGGATCATCACTGAAACACTAGGAGAACTCAACATTTCCAGAAGCTGCTTTGGGAGTCCATTCTTCAAATATTTAACATTAGACATGTGCACCAGCAAAAAGCTAGTTTTGTTTCGATTCAGATTTTGCTTTATTTCGTTTAGCGGAATTTGGGTCCGAAAGTCAATTCGTTTCGGAATTCGGATTCGGACGGAATTCGTTAGTGGAAATCCGTACAAACTTTCGTTTCTAATTCGTTTCTAATTCGTTTCGTTCGTTCGTTTGTTGCAGCAAAGTGACATTTAAGAGGGAAAAAAAGTTTTTTTGTTCTCAAATGTCACTTTGCTGCAATGAAATTTCGTCCAAAAAAACCGA